GGAGCCGACAGCTGGGGAGTCAAACTGATTGAAAAATCCCCTCGGTCGCCACTGGGCGAAGAGATGTGGTTCTTTGCGTTTTCGGTTGGTTTTGGGGGGGTTTTTTGGGGTATTTTTTCTTTTTTTCAGCCAAAAAAAAAAAAAAGAAAAAAAAAGAAAAATGTGAGGTTTCGGCAGAAAACAAAACGAAGCGAAATAAACTTATTTTGTCAAAATCGTCACCTTGGTTGGTTCTTTGGAGCAATCGCTGCCGCGTCCCCTCACCCAGATTCCCTCGAGGACAACGCCAGGGACCCCTTTTATCAGCCCGACTCTGGCTGCACCGACACATCCGCTGGGAGTTTGGTGAAGCCAGAAGAGGAGCACAGGCCTCTCTTTTTATTTACTTTTTTCCCCAGGAATTACCATGTTCCAGAGGAATTCAGCCCGACTGTGGAGGGAACCGGAGCAGACCTGGAATGTGCCCACTGATGTGACGAGCCCGTCAGGTCTCAGCTGGTGACTGTACCTCAACCAGGATATTTTTTAACGTTGATTCTTAACTTTTTTTAATAAATCCTGGTTGAAAGCAATGCCCACGTCTCCCGTGGGGTGGCAAAGGGCTGGTTTGGGGGATTTATTTTTATTTTTTTAAATCCCTCAGACCCTTGAACCCCTGGTCAGGGATCCCTGCGGGACTGGCCGGTGTCCCTGGGCAGTGTTGGGCTGATCTTTGACCGACCTGGAATGCTCCAGGACCACAGGGGACCTCAGTACCCCGCCACCTCTGCCACCTCCCGGGGTTCCCCGGGCCGAGCCTCAGCAGCCTCTGGGGTTTTTCCGATGTTTTTTTTTGCTGGGGCACACAACTGTGCTGGCACCGACTCTGCATCTGTGTAGTCTTTGGGATCAGCTTGGGCTGACCATGTCCCCCGTGTGGTCCTATCCCTGTGGCACAATCCCTTCTCCGTGCTGTGGTCCCTGCTCCGTAGCACCATCCCTTTGCCAGGGTGTGGTGGGATTTCCTCCCCGCAGCCCTGTCCCTTTCCCAAAGCCCCATCAATTCCCCACGACCCTTTCCTTGTGGCTCCAGTCCGTTCCCTGTGATCCCATTCCTTCTCCATGATCCTGCCCCTTCTCCATGATCCCATCTCTTCTCAACGATCCCATCTCTTCCCCTGGATCCCATCCCTTGCCCTCAATCCCATTTCTTCTCCATGATCCCGTCCCTTCCCCTTGATCTAATCCTCCTCCATGAACCCATCACTTCCCAGTGATCCCATGCCTTCCCCACCATCCCCTCCCCACCCCAGGCTGTTTAAATTCTTCCACCACACCCACAAGATTCCTTTTCTTTTTTTTTTCCGTGTTTTTTTGTTTTGTTTTGTTTTCTTTTTTTGCTTCGGTTTCTCATTGTCAATAAAAACGCCGTCGCTGCCAATGCCAGGAGAGGCAGCCACCGGCCACGCTTCTTTTTTTGCTTCGGTTTCTCATTGTCAATAAAAACGCCGTCGCTGCCAATGCCAGGAGCACTGCCACAGGGTCGGGGACACCGAGGGATGGGACGGGGAGGGGACATGGGACCATTAAACCCGCCTGGTGCTAACTTGACGTCGGCTCCATCTCTGCCCCGTCCCAGAGGCTCAAAATTCGCTCGTCCTTCCCCAGCCTCGCCCGGGGTCTTCGCTCAGCGCCCGGGGGGTCCCCACCGCTGCCACCGCTCAGTTTGTGTACACCTGAGTCCCGATCACACGCATGATCTCCTTCTGGATTTTGGGGTCCTGAGTATTGATATTGGCATCTCCCACTTGGCCGTCTTCGTACCTGGAAGGGGAGAAAGGAGGGTAAAGGGGTGTCCCGGGGGCGTCCCAGGGGTGTCCCATGGGTGCCGGTGAGGTGGGCACAGCTGGGACTCACACAAAGAAGAAGCGGGTGCAGACGTGGTCCGAGACGGGGCAGACCCAGATGTTGCCGTGTTTCTGCAGGTCCTTGGAGGTGATGACTGCCGCGGGAAGGGGCTGTCAGCCGGGAGGCCCTCCTTCCCTCCCTCCCTCCCTTCTCCACCCACCAGGTGAGCCAGGGATGCGGGTGCTGCCCGGCCACCCCTCT